AATCAGATAAATATCATCGTCAAACATTATTAGATAATATTTTAAAGGACACTTTTTTATTTTACCTGTCTTTATCTTTGGAGCTCGAGCTCGATTTGTGATGATGTTCCTTGTCCCTGGTTTTGTCCTTTTCCTTATCTTTGCTGGATGAACTGCTACTCTTATGCTCTTTGTCCTTACTAGATGAACTCTTTCTATCCTTGTCTTTATTATTACTACTATCATGCTTCTCCTTGTCCTTAACAGAACTGGAGCTATGTCTATGTTTGTCCTTGTCCTTATCCCTGTGTTCGCTTTTATGATTCCTCTCCTTGTCTTTGCTCCGATCTTTATCTTTATGATCCGATTTGTGAGATCGCTCTCTGTCCTTGTCTCTGTGCTCTGATTTGTGCTCTCTTTTCTTGTCGAAACCGTTGGACATGCCATTGATATGATCTAAGAAAATTAAATGTTTAATTGAAATTTACAGTACACACATGAAATTCATCATTAATTTTAAAATAATTCTGTCTATTAAAGATTATAAGGTACATAAAGTTTAATATAATGAAACGAGATAAATGTTAATTTAATAGTACCTAACATAATAACAAAATAAGGAATAAACTTTGAATAAAATTCAAAGTTGAAAAGAATATCTCAAGTATCAAGAATATTCCGTTTAATTCAATTTATACTAATGTAAATTAACTTTAATTTCGGTTATTAATTTAAGTTATTATTGTTAAAATAAATTAAATTGAGAATAAAATTAATAAGAAAATATGAACCAATGAAAGTCCATTTCTTTCGTTTTCATGAAACAAAAAAACTCTGGCTTTTTATGCTTTATACATTATGCAAAGGTCTGTATTTCGGCTTTAATTCTTAGAATTACAAGTTAAAGAATAAATTAAAATTAATCTGATATTGATGGAATTTAGATAGTCATCGTTATTTTGTTAAGAATTAGATTCTTTCTAGAATTAGATCCTATTCTAGAATTAGATTCTCTCAATCGTTGAAAACAATACATAATCAATAAAATATGCAAAATTAAGAACCACATAAAAATAAGAACAATAAAAAAATTAATAAAAATAAAAATAAAAAAATAGGCAAAAAATGACATATTTAAAAAATTAATTAGAATTAATAAACACGCATTTAATGAGATTTTTTATCAAAAGCGTGGATAAATTTTTCCATAAAAAATTAACAATCAAAAATTCGCGCGGTTCTTTAAATCTCCTATCGCACATGATTCATTTGTTTTGGAACTCTTTACTATTCTTTTCAAACATCGCTATCCATAACGATCTTATCCCCGATCGAAGACTCGAACTTTCTCGAAGCATCCTTGAACTATCGCTGGAAAACTCTCGAACTTTCGAGAAGATGCAAAATTCATAATTAAGTAGGTACGGGAAAGGCAACTTCCGCAGTTGCAGGATCCCTCATCCCACCTTCAAACGCTTCTTCCCTGAACGAAATGAGACACGTGTTCAATTCCCCCCTTTCCCCGTGATCCTCGTGAGTCCTCCGGTCGATTTTAATTCAACTATTCGCCTCCGTTCGGTCGATGCTCACCTCGCACGCGTCCGAGTAAAAGAAGTAAAGAACTCACCGCTATGATTCCCGGAGACGCCGTCGCCGCCGCCGCCGCCGCTCTCCTTAGTCTTCTTCTCCTGAAACAGACGAGCGACCGTTCATCGTGACCGGGAAGGTCAAACGCGAGCACGCGCGTCTGTTCGACGGTGTTGAAAAGCCGGGGAGCCACGAGGAGCACTCTCGCGCGCCTTGGGATTCGCCCGTCCGCCACGATAGGACTTAGTCGTAGACGCCATTTTGGGACTTAGAAAATTTTCGCATCGGGCACGATGAGAGACGACCAAGAGGCGAGAGCGCTCCCACGGGCGATTATCGCGAAAACGTGCACCTACGTGGACGCGGAATCGTGGTCGCTTACCAGATCCGCATTCATCTGCGGTGTAGCCTGCTCGAGCTCCATTTCCCCGGACGCACGGAATCTGTACACAGCGCGGGCAGCGATGGACTTGCGGCGCAAGGAGTACCGTGGTTCAGCTGCGCCGTCGACCAAGTGAGACACAAGAAGCTCCGAGAGCGAATGGCTGGGACGCGTACGCACACACAGTGGGTCTCCCAACGAGTGTGTTAGCAAATTCGCAAGAGACCGTGAGAAAAACGGGGAAGTAGAGAGAGAGAGAGAAAAGATAGAAAGAGAGAAAGATGGAGAGACGGCACACTTTACCCTAAGCCGTCCGCAACACGCCCGTCTCGTCCCGCATCCGACGAACGACTGTACTCCGTGTGCGCGTCGCGACGCCGCGCAACCAGTCTAAGTGCCAGAAACGCGCGACCGCGCATGCGCCCGCTCGCCCCGCCCCCCTCGTACTTCGTAGCACGGTCAGACGCGATCCCGCGATCCCGATCGCCGGGCCCGAGCCGATCCGATGCGCCCCGAACCGAGCCGAGGGTGTCATTCACCGCGGCGCGAGGTCGATTGAAACCGGTACGATTCCGCAGCCGAGTTCAATACTCGATGTGCGGAGACGATTTTGCAGGGTTGTGTCGTATATTTCGAGATTATGTTTACATGGAACTTTTACGTATTGTTTACGTCAAGTTTACACGTTTCTGTTTTTTCATGTAAACGGTTTTACATGCAATGTAAAATATGAGCCCCTTAATTGACAAGTGGTATAAGTCCAAAATTAGGAAAAATATGTTTGTATAGAAGTTGAAAGTATTAGGAATGTTTGTTTTATCTATCAATTTAATTTACTTTTATTCTGTTTTTATGTTCATAAAAAATAAAAAAGCTAGAATAGTGACTTAGTCCAGCTTTTTTTACGATCACTTTATTTATGATGTAAAATTGATTTTTATTTCTTATGAACATAAAAACAAAATAAAAGTAAATTAAATTAGATGGACAAATATTCTTAATACTTTCTACTTCTATAACGAACGCATTTTTCCTAATTTTGGACTTATGCCACTTGTCAACTAAGAGGTTCATATGTAAATTATTATAAATTGGATATAATAGTATAGAGAAAGAATTAAATTTTATGATCGTTAATACACCTGACTTTAGTATATTGATAAGTTTACTATTGATAAAAATATATAAGAAAGATGGAAGCCTAGTGCAGCTGTGTAGCAGCTACTGCAATAATAAAGAACGAAGCTTTGATGATTTATAGGATTATTTACACAAACGATACGCAATGCCTAGTTTACATAATTTACATCTGTTTCATGCAGACAGTACAAGCAATGTAAAATATGTAAATTATTGTAAATTATATAACAGAAAGAATTGAGTTTTATGATTATTAATATATTATATGATAAAAAAATATGATAAATAAAAATACATAGTGAGAGGAAAGCTTAATGCAATGATAAAGAAACAAAGTTTTGATGAATAAATTGTTTACACAAATGTCAATACGTAAAAAACGTAGTTTACATCTTTTTCATTGGACAATACATGCAATATAAAATATGTAAATTATAAATTATTATAATTTGTATAACACAGAATACAGAAAGAACTAATTAAATGTTATGATTGTTAATATATCTTTAGTATTTTAATAAATACATAAGCAAAATGGAAACTTAATTTACTGCAGTCTAGTACAACAATAAAGAACATAAGCTTTGATAATCTATAGATTGTTCATACAGATAAAAAAAATGTAAGTTTAAATCCTTTTCCGATAAATAATACAAGTAACATAAAATATATAAAATATTATAAATTAAATAACACAGTACAAAAAGAAGTAATTAAATTTTATAATTGATCATATATAACTTGATACTGATAAATAAAAATATATAAGATAAAAATTTTAGTGCAGTCCAGTGCAACGATAAAGAACATAAGTTTCAATGGCTGTATTCAGCAGAATGTTTATTTTGCAACTGTTGAAATTTTCTTCACACTGATCGGATTATTACTTTTACATTTAGAGAAATAGTCCTATTTCAGCAGATAATAATAAAACGGTTGCAAAACTGTTGCGTTCTGCTGAACGCATCCATTGATCTATAGATTGTTTACACAGATGACATATAAAACATAGCTTACATAGTTTACATTGTATAGATGTGGATTATTATTTTTTACGCACAACCCTGGGATTTTATTTCGCAGCCATAAGAAGACCGACGACAAAATGTTCTCCAAAGCGAAATTCAAAATCAGAATATACCAATCGTTGATTGATTCATTTCTCAATTAACAGATTCTCTCTTTTCCTTTTTTCTTATGGCGGGGAAGATCTTCTCGCGAAAAATAACTCTTCCAAGAACAGGAATTGAAAAATCCCCTCGCAAAGAGAATTAATCGCCAGAGATTTCTGAAGTAAATTATAATATCGGAGTTCTAATCGCAACGCAAACTTATGAGATGTAAGAAACGCAATAATTTTGAAATTATTTTATACTTTTGTGATTTTGCTGATTTTGAAAGAATAAGTTTATACGAGATATTCCTTGTCGACGTAACCAACTCTTTCGTTTGGTTCAACTTCACATTAGATCGAATTTTGCGAAGTTGTATTGAACTATACATTCGATTCATAGTGAACTTATGTCTTATGAACAATTCTACCATACGTTCGATTATTATCAATTACAGTTCACTACTTTCGAAGCATCAGCGCGAGAAAACTATTGATTCTTTTTTATTTATATATTCGAAAGAGTGATTTTTCTCAGCGCAATTATTTTTGAGAAATATAAATTAAAAGAATTTATGTTTTGAAAAATTATACGTCATTCTCTCTCTTGCGTGATAATAATTTATAGCAATAATTGTACATAATTTTATTTTTAAATATACTGTAAATGTATACAATTATAATATTATAATTATATAATAGCTAAATAATTATGATATTATAATTATATTCCAAAATTCTTAATCATATACACTGTATATGTATAATTAAGAATTATATAATTTTCAATTTTATATATATAATTCTTAATTTGAAATACATGATTCATTTTCCGTGTTGCGAGCTGATTATCTATAATCCACTCAATTAGGAAATTAACATTACTGTATTCAGGATCTTATATTTCCTGACATCTAAATCATTCGTGTTATACTGAAAAATTTCTTACGACTTGAAAGAATAGAATTTCAGTAACAATGAAAAAGAAAATTGTTTTCTAATGATTAACCCTTCAATGTTATACGTTTGTATTATTTTTTATATGTTATACATTTTATGTTATACCTGTGTTCAATGTTATACGTTTTGTATTATACATTGTCATTGGTGCAACATTCAATCCAACTTTGATTGCTTAAACTTTTATAAAATTATAAACATAATAAATTTTTTTCAATCGAAATGTCAAGCATTAAGAAATACAACGGTATCAAACAGGTATATCTTGATTAGTAAAAAAAAAGTTATAAGTAATAAAATAAATAAATGTTTTAAAAGATCATTTTTTGAAAAAAAAGTCTGATACGCCATACCAAGAGTAGCATTAAAGGGTTAAGCCTTTTTAGCACTTTTTACATGATTGTCAGCTCTATAAACGCAGCTACAGCTCTACTGATATCACACGGTTGATATCGTCCTACCATAAGTTACATTACAGTAACAAATAAAATTGTTTGTACAATATAAAATCAGCAGCATCAGTAAATCGTTCCTTGCTTCAGTTTTCATGTTTTTCTTTATCTTACGAAACTTTATAACTTGATATACTCTGGCTTTCCTTCGCTGTTCCAAATCGTCTTCATTTTTCGAAATGAAAATACTGCATACAATGCTGTAAAAATTTAGTAAATTGGATTTGTTCAGAATTTTTATATTTTATTCATATTTTTTTTCAAATTTTCCTTATTTTTAATTAGAATTTGTTTATACTCACAAGTGACTTCCCATTCCGATTGCGAAAGAGTGCCAATTTTACGATGATTCGCCGGCAGATTCTGCATATATTCAACAGCATGATGATAGTCTCGCTCTGGATCCCCAAGTAGAGGCGCTTCATGATATGGCGGATAAGTTTCTAGTGCCTGCATATTTCCTAAAAGAGATCTACCTTCGTTTTTGAAACGCTCATAGAAATCTTCGAACCTGAATATAAAAAATTTTTTTAGATTTTAACTAGAAAAAATAAATGTCTTCAGATATTAATGTCTATTTATGATATTCATGGATCCAGTGTACCTTCATTAATGTATTTTTATTTAAAGTAAGTTTAATTTACTTTCGCTTTTTTTTCATTTTAAAGGTCAAAATCCGAGAAATAGGATTATATAACTTAATATTATGTAAAATTATGAAAAACACTCATAATAAATAATTTTTCACACTGTAGTTGAAGAAAATGTCCACTAGACCTGCGAATATCGATTAGGCTTAAATTAATATAATACATGCAATAGCTTTTTATAATAATTGTTTGCTAAAATAACGATTAATGATAGATTTAAGTCGTGTGCTTTTTCTCTTACCTTTCAAACGCCACTAATTCGAGACCGTATTTCAGAGCCAACTTGCACAAAGTGGGCAGATGCACCAGGAATTCCGGGCAATCGACCACACCGTCCAGATGAAAATTGTACTTTGCGCCGAAGAACGGCGGTTTAGTTTTGTCCTCGCTTAAAAATTCAACGTTGTATACGTCGTTGCCGAACTTATGACCGTCGCAATTTTGCCACCTAGAACTGCGTTGCCGAAAAGAAGATGAGTGTGTGTACTATCTATTAATGAGAAATATGCAAGTAGAAGAGGACGCACATTAAATCGTAAGCGTCTGGAATGGTTCCGATGAAGTAGCCACCGGGCTTGAGACTCTCACTTGCATTCCGAATCATGCATTCCGCCTGTGATAGAGATTCAAAGCTGTAGTGGAAAGCGAACTGGCAGCTAACGAAGTCCAGCTGTATGCTGGGATCCGTGAACTTCTCCCTCAAACGAACCTGTAACATTCCTGATTAACAAAATTCCATTGACAAGTGCGTTTCTTGCAGATGGAATTTTTGTGTAGCATTTAAAAATGAAATAGGTATCCTCCACCTTTGTACAATCAGCTGTTATAAACTCCGCGCTGAAAATGGGAGCAAAACCTCTGTCCTTGGAACCTTTCTTATTCACCATGTCATTGTATCGTTGTTGACACTGTTCAAGCGATACTTGCGCTATATCTGCGCAGATCAAATGTGAAATATTTGCCTTTTTCCACTTGAGAAGGTCTCCGCCCTTACCACAGCACATGTCCAGAACTTTAAGCGAAGTGCCGAAACTTTTGCCTTGTCTTACTTTGACTACGTATTCATCTGATAAATAATATAAGGATAAACTTATTCATTGCAAAAACAACTGATCATTCAAATAAATTAACATAAAATCACAATAACAAGACCAATAATAAGCCAGTTTTAAGTCAAAATTCAATTTTTTTCTCAAATCATCAAAAATAGCCCAAATTAAATCAAATACTTATTTTTACTTTCAAAAACTTTATAATTATATTTATAATTATGATTAATTCTGAGATATTGGATAACTTAATAATAATTATCTATCAAACAAAAGATTGGGATTTGATTCCCGATTCTATTACCTTATGTTACAAGAAATTTTAAACTATTATAATTCCGTTCTATTAAACAAGGGCATCTAAAGTTATAAATATAAAAAAAATCCAAAATAATTTGGCAAAATAATTGTGATACTTTTTAAAATTAAAATGCAATAAGAGCTCAACAGTTTAAATTGTAATAATTAATGCTAATTGGTATCAATCAATAATTAAAAAGAATTAGAATTATGTATCTGAAAGAATGCAATTGGATATTGATTCTTATTAGTCCTTTTCTCATTATTATGTTGTGACATCATTTAGACAGCAGTTAAAAATTAATACTTACTTATAAGCATGCTTTTAATCCAATTGTTAAAATTCCTCATATATACAATGCGACTTTGATTTCTCTGCGAGAGGCCCTTTTCCTCGAGCGCATTGTAATGGTCAGCTACCAAAACTGTATTGTCAAGACTCCTGTTTGCATCAGTTGTGTCTTTATTTTTTTCGTTACTTCCGGATGTCGTTAAATCTGAGGGAACGTTTGTACTCTGCAACAGAAAATATATTAGCACTAATTATATATAGCAATTAATAGTATTCATACTTCAATCTTACATTTAAGATCACCTTAAGTATAATCTCAAGATGTTTTGAGTTCTACAATACATAATACAGAATTTTTCTAGAATTTATTAAAGTATATTTTAAGATTATTATCAGAAAGTTTTCTTTGTTAAAAATAACTATTATTTAAAAGAAAAAATAAATAGAGTAATCACTTTTCTTTGCAACAGAATGATATTTTTCTGTGTATTAAAATAAACATAGTATTCATTCATTTTTATACAAGTTATGTCATTTCCTTAAAATTCATGTCTTTTCAACATGAATTAAGTAGATTTTACAGTATCAATAACTATGTTAATAGATTTTGAGATCCGCTCTGGACTTTTAAGACTACTTATGTGACCAGATTTAAGATGTCTTGAATATGTGATCTAATAAACACTGCTTTTTGCAATCAAAGTAGTAATATATGGTTAAGACACATACAGCAGATGAGGCATCTTCTTCAGCATCGTGCTTTGCTATTTTGGACGGTCGTTCGCGATCTGGCGACCGCTTGTGTTTCCTACTTTGAGGGCTCTCTACATTTGAATCCTTATTTATCTCCGACTTCGCTGAAGTGGCAGAGGACGTTTCTGTCTCGCTGGAAATTATAATTCGTTCTTTTAACTTTATATTATCCAAAATGTTATTCAAAATTAAACTGAATTGTAAATTGTATGATAAAATTAAGTGATTAATTGATGTTTTCGTAAAATTCTGAAGTGAAAGTTTAAGTCTATAAATAAGATTATAGTTTAAGATTGTAGATATACGTTCGCCAATAACTTTATAAAAATCAGAACAAGCATTTTATTTCTACCAAAAAAAAAAACAAAGAAAACATTGAGAACCGATTGAACTTAATATTGTAAGGATTCAGAAATATTTGAATGAAAGGAAAATGTACTATTGCTATATTTAGCGCTACGTCGCGCTGAAGCGCGAGGACGAGAAATACCTCGTGTGCTGCTCCTTTTCCTCGTACTCCGTTTTATTATCCGCGGCAAATGCCGACATGTCGACGGCGCGGCGATACGAATTGCGAATAAAAGGATGCGGGTTACAATGTGAGAAGTTGTTCAGACTATTCGAAGCGCGAGAACTGCTACTAGTTCATCACTATACATGCCACATTCGGGAACGCGAGCGAACCTCACCTCATACCGACGTTGGCCGCAAATGCCGCAAAATACGCCACGAAAAGCGTCGCAGTGACGCCAACGGAGGGATTTTTCACGCATGCGCCGCAGAGCGAGCATCAGGTGACGCCCAGTGGCGTACGCATCTTGGTGAAATTTAAAGTATCGTTAGGTCCACATAAAAAAAGATTAAAAATGCCAAAAAAATTAATAGTAAAATCTCTTAATATTTATTAAAATTTTATGAAAATTAATACTAATCCTTAATAAAACAACGCAATTTATTTAATTGTCATAAATAGCTGTAATACCCTGGTGAAAATGTTTCTCAGAATTTTTCTGAATTTCTATATAATTTTTCAAAATTTCTCTATAATTTTATAATTTTCTCTCCTTTTTTATACGAATTGGATCATTTCTCAGAAAATCTGCATCTTTTCTCAGAATATTTTATATATGTTAATTATAAAATATCGTAAGATTTTTATGATTTTTTTGTAAGTATAATTTCTAATGAAATGTTATAAAATCTAAAAAATACTTTTTTTAAAATACTTTTTAAAAATTATGGGATGAGAAATTTCAGAATATTTCAGAATTCACTTGTATGAAAAATTCTAAGAGAAGATGTAAACTTTCCAAATATTTCTGAGTATTTCTGAAAAATGTTCGAATTTGTATAAAAATTATAAGAGAAATTTTCACCGGGGTAAAGTTTATTTTCATGTTTAAATTAAATGAGTGAATTTCGTGTTCAAAATAAATGTGAATAAAATTAATAATTACAAACAAGTTAATAACTAAAGTTCAGTGAAATTTTATTTAAAATAAGACAAGTTTATATGTGAAGTATGACGGAACATCGATTTTACATTGCAAAATTTATATTTATATTTTTTCTTTTTTTATAAAATCAATAACCTTTATAAAATATATGTATATTCTGTATTAAATAACGTTACTTCTTGCAATTTATCGTTTCTCTTTTTTTCTTCAATGTGAAAGAAAAAAAATCTATTGTTTGTGCACGTATTACGTCCCTGTCCATCTATCCAGCAAGAAACAAGCTGACATCTTCATTCCTCAGTATCGCCAACACCAACCGACTACAACTAACTTCAACAGAACGTGTTGATTTACTGGTAGTAACATGGAGGTTAAAAGTGTACGGCGATTTTCCAATTTTCCCGTCGTTTCGTTGTGAATTATTTAACTGTATATAAATTAATTGAACGAGATCTTTGCTTAATTAACTTATTCAATAATGATCTGTGCGATTGTCACATTTTAGAATGTAAATAAAGTATCAACCTTCTCTGAACAGGATTATTTCATCGGTTATGCGCATCAATTGGAACATTGGATATCTACGGATTTATTAAAATATAAAAAAAATGGTACGATAATTATTTATAACTGTATATTAAATTCACTCATTTATTATATATTATAAACGGATATGTAACAACGGGATTGACCGAATGCTTTGTTTACTTCAGTGTAGCCACCACACATGGACAGTAGGAAAGATTAAAAAATTATCGAAAGCAATTATTGTTTGCTTACGTATTTACGGACAACAGAGATGCATATGGAGCATTCACAGTTTCCTACTTGGACAGCCCGTCCCTAGCGATGCACGAACATAACCAAATGTAACCTTGATCGACAAGGTTGGTATCTACGCTTAATCACCTAACGCACACGTTCTCATCTATTATCTGATCTAGATTTGCCCTGCGTGATATTCTTATCTGACCAGCTTATCTAAAATTCAATAAGACTCAAAAAATAAATAATATCACCGCAACGTTTAAGTTGTGTCAAGTCTACAGTAAGATTTTATTCTTTTCCAGCTTATTCTGGCTGTATTATTCAGACGGAATAGGATCTTTGTTTGTATACACCGTCTGCCTTGCAGAGTGAGACTTGGATATACAATCCATTGTTATAGAAAGTTTCACACAGGACTATAAGAACAAAATGGAAACGTTCGAGGCATATGATGAGTCTATGGTTACCGCAGCAAATTATCAGTGTGACATTGTTCAAACTGTGAACAATCATGCGCCCAAGGAAGAAATAGAAGTACGGAATAGAGAGAATCATGATACGTTGACGTTGCAACAGCAACAGACGGAGCAGATGCATCAGGTGACACAGATCGAGTCGAATATCCAACAGAAAGCAACTGCGGTTCGATTGCCTGCTTTATTGGATGGAGAGTACTTCCAGGTGATCAGGGTGGAAGACACTAACGTTACGGTACGTTGTCAGCAGTGTATGAAATTGCTCAACGGCAATCTGAAGTCCACTGGGAATTTTCTCAGTCATGTAAAGGTAAACAAATTATTGGATACTTTGATAGAATTGTCTATGCAGATTGACAGGATGAAAAAGAGGCTTCTTGATGTAAAACCATGAAGATGAGAGGGGCCAGTGAAAGCCTAAGCACCGATTATTGTTTTTTTATTTCTTACTCTTACAAAGGACTGTTACAACTGTTTGGATTCGATTCTCCTTGAAATATATTGTAAAAAAAATCTGAGATACATGTTTTTATATGGATCCAATATCTCAGATCATTTTAAGAAGTGAAACAATCTCTCAAAGCTTAATGGGTATGGAGGTATTTTTAATACATTAGATTTTTCAAAAATCGAAATACACAATTATCAAGTATATAAAAAAAAACTATAAATATTTTGTCTAAAACATTTTTCCATACATTTCGCTGATAATTGACTATAAGCATTAACTTTAAAGGATTGTTTCATCCCTTAAATCTGAGATGGAGAAATATAAAAAAATACATGTTTCTTACATTTTTGTGCTTAATATTTCAAGAATAATCAAATCAATTTCGAATAGATATAACAGTTTTCTTGTTTAATTTTATTTATTATTTTGACGCATGATTTTATTATTTATTTAATTTTATTTATTACTTCAGGCGACACTTACAATTGTATAATTAATCCTTCGTCGACAGTGTGATACTTCATCCACTATCTGGATCTTCGAACTTCAGTACAGATTTTTTATATACAGGGTTGGCCATATTCGACGGAAAGATGTTTTTTTTTCAATCATGGGAAAAAACACATTTTTTGCTGTTCATTTAAAAAAAAAAGTGTTGCCAGATCTTTCCGTCGAATATGGTCAACCCTGTAGTTTGGACTGTATAAAAATTTTAAGAAATTCTTAAAATAAGTCTACTATCACAGAAATTAAACTTTACTTATTTTTTACAAATTTAAATTTGTCTGTTAGAATTTACAATAAAAAAATAAAATTCAACATTGCCGGCAGTGGATTAATTATATACGACTATGCTTAAAATCTCTCATTGGGCTTTCTTTTACCATTATAGATTACGATTACGCTTTATTGTTAGATAGAGAAATCTATTTTCGTAACCTTGTTATTTTTAGCGATTGCATCCTTCTTTGATGTCCAAAATAAGGTGCAAATCTAGTCAGAGGAAACCCGCTATATATGTCAACTCGACGTTACCTGATAAATGCTCCGAAATAATGCCGGGAAAGCGTGCAGCGGTACAAAATAAGAAGCGCTGTAAAACGGTAAGCACTTAATTTTTGTCATATAATTCAATTCGATCTTGCTGTCCTAAAAAGATTAAAAAATAATAAGTTACTATATTAGAAAAGAGAATTAGTAATTAATTATTAAAAAATTAATGTTAGGTAGAAATATCTGAAGGTACTTAAATATACGACAGATGAAAATTATTTAAGATTTATTTTAAATACATATAATATATTTATATTTCTTAAACATTTAAATTAATTGGGCTTGACATTTCTCTTATCTATCTCGATTTTACAACGTAACAAAGAGCTTTCTTCTCTTTGTTACATTGTAATTAATTTAATGTATCCATAAGCAGGAGGAATGTACGGCCGAAAAGAACGAATCTTACGAACAACATACAGATTGGAACGACACATCGTTAATCCGGGGATCCGACGAGTCGGAATCAGCAGATCCATCTCTAAGAATATCACATAATAATTCATTTATAATGGAGGATGAGTACGATGCAATCGGTCGCAACGTTGCTGCCAAACTCAGGAATATGAGACTGGACCAAAGAATAATAGCTGAGAAATTGTTGAACGACATTTTATTTGAGGCTCAGCTCGGTAATCTTCACAGAGATTCGAGTATTCACGTGTGAGAATAAAATGTACAACGACCTGTGTCGATATTATATATCTTCTAGTAAATATCGTGAAAGAACGAATCCGATTTGACGAAAAGCGACGTGATAAATACAGTTATCTGATTAATTATATAACGCGCATATTGGTATGTGTGTGTGCGTAAAGATTGCGCGCTTGCGAATGAATGGACAATTTTTGTTAATAATATTAGCGATTATATTGAAAGACGAATACTTTATACTTTTGTGATATATCTTGTAATCTTCTACATGATCATCCCGAGATCATTATATTTGGATTTTCAGACGAAAACGAAAAATCTAATTATTCCGATAAATTTGTATCAGATGGCTGATCACGATTATGCTTTCTTCTTGGATAGCAATACAGTCTGGATGTTCGGCAAAACACCACCTTGAGCAATTACATTGGTCAACAGCTTGTTCAATTCCTCGTCATTGCGGACGGCGAGTTGCAGGTGACGCAGGATTCTAGTCTGTTGTTGTCACGAGTAGTCAACTTCAAAATTTCAGCGGCCAGATATCCCATGACTCCAGGTAAATCAGTGCACCAGTTCAGCGCAGTTCTTTCCTCAGATAGATACGATTCACGGGGAACTGCAATCTCGTCCTATTAAAACGGGACTTCGCCTTTCTCTCGACTTTGCCAATAATGATTTCAGAGCGATATACATACAAGCGTATATCCCAGCAAATGAGAATGGATTAAAATGGATTGAAATTTTTTTCTATTCGAATGCGTATTTTAAATAGCGAATACTTTTTTTTTTGGATTCAATTGGATTGAAAAACTGCATTCCCTATTCAAAATTTTGAATTGAACACTATTCACAATAAGTTGTGTGTGCACAGAAAAAGCTAATATTATTTTTAGATTGAAAGGCATAGAGATATGCTCCATGCAATTCTTATGAATAAAAATGCATTCATTCAGGATTGAAAAGCATTCGTTTTAACGTTCGTGAATCAATATTTTTGAAAATCTGAATCCATTTCAATTTTAATAAATGTATACATCTGTATGCATTTATATTAAACATATGTAAGATTTTAGCAAAAGTATCAAAGAGTCTAAAAATGTCTACTGATATGCACTGCATGCTGAAATTATGTATAAATGTGTATATGAGTACTTTTTGCTGACAAAGAAGTTTCAATTCAAATTGACGCATTTTTTTTCTGCATACTTTTACTAAATTATGTGTGAAAATATATGCATTTACTAGTAAAGGTAAATTTCATTGCTTGTAAATCCATTTATTTATCAAATTAGTATCCCAGCAAATGAGAATGGAATGAAATATAATAGATTAAAATTTAGATTTTCAGAAATACAGATTCATTAATATTAAAATAAATGCTTTTTAATCCTGAATGCATTTTTATTCATTTATAAGAATTGCATAAAGCAAATGTCAATGCCTATTCAATTCTGAATGCATTTCTATTCATTTATAGGAATTGCATAGAGCATATCTCTATGCCTTTCAAGTTAAAAATAATATTAGCATTTTCTGTGCACATCGTGAATACTACTCAATTCAGATTTGTGAATAGAAAGTACAATTTTTTTAATTCAATTAAATTCAAAAATAATATCAACAATTTTTATGCAATGTGAATATTACTCAATTCAATATTCTGAATATGACATAGTTTTTCAATCTGATTGAATAAAAAGTTTTTATTTAAAAATGGACCATAAATGCTACTTAAATTATTCAAAATTATAAGTAGGAAATTTTTCGTTTTAATCCAACTAAGGCCCAGTTGTATCAATGTCTCTTTGACTTTAAAGGAGATTTAAAACTCTATCTCGTTTTAAAGCCAAAAAGAGACAAAAAGAGTTTTAAAATCGAAGCTTAAAATCGAAATAACGTTGGTGCAATCGGATCTAAGTTTAAAAAAATTGTAACGTAAATATAATTGAGTTATGTTCTTTTGTTTCTCTTTGGGGTGTATATATGTATATATATTATATATTATACATATATATATATATATATATATTGACTAGTAAATGTATACATTTATTAAATTAACATTTTGACTGTAACTATACATATGTGTAAGTGTACAATACTGTAAATATTTCCGCGTAATGTAAAATTGTGAAATAATGAAACATGCTGCCTAAAATATTAGATTGGTACAAGAAATTTATCAGTTTTTGGACATATTTTTTTAAATATTATACAATTTTTGAAAAACACCAAAGAATTTTTTTAATTAACTTTTAATTAATCAAGATGAAATGCTACTCCACACAAAACATAATAACTGTTAGATGTCCATTCGATATTCTCGATTGGTATTAAATTTCCGTGGACATTTAATAAACATTAATAAACATTAATACTGTATATATGCAAATGTCCGCGTGAGATCTCATGAATAAGACATCTAAACCAATGTCCATTAGACATTGATTTAGGTGTCCATGTCATATCTAGTGGATATTTATTACAGATATCTTTTGTACGTGTGTGTGTATTGCTCAGATTATTTATGGATACATTAATACTTACTTTATGGATGTAAATATGTGGATAACATGTCAACATCCAGATAATCCACACGCTGGTTACTCGACAGATATAAATAATATTTTATATATCTTAAATATCTATTAATTATCCACCGATATGAACATATAAATACATGGATATTCACTGGATATCTATTTATTATATATTTTGTTCTGTGAGTATAGATGGCGTTAAAACAGTGTCATATTTTTAGACAAGAAATAAAATCATAATAAATTATAATAAATTTTATTTAAAAAACTGTAATATTAAAAAAATAAATCCTCTCGCCTCTTCTGAAAGTTAATAAATCAATCGAACTCTCTGTAGGCAATAGTGTCTAACAGTAAGTCTATTTGGCAAGTACAGGAAGTTTTTGCACCAATCTAATGATTATGTCTAAAAATCTTTTTCTATACCAATCATGTTATATTCTATGATTAGCATAAGACAGTCAATTGTAATATATAGCAATAGCTATATATAGGTTTAATAAATGATATATAATTTAATATACTTTTGTATAAAACATTTTCGAAATGTCTGAACACCGAGAGGTCTAAAGCTTATCGAAAATCGAAAAAACATCTATAAGGTATAAATAAAGTATAGAAAGCCGCCAATGTCTAGAAGATTTTTGTCTCTTCTGAAACTTTCAATTAATCTGTTGAATGTGTATCTACAGTTTATTTACACGCCTTGTTACGGAACTAAAAGCGGAAGTACGATTTTCACAATCAGAAGACTTATCTGAAGAACAGAGCCTCCAATGATCGTCAACTGCTGTAAACTCTACGTTTCTTTGGCTTGAACATTACGTGATATACCGCGGACGAGAGAACGCAGAGCACCATGCTGCCAAGGATCGCCCAGAATATGTAAGTGTACCAGAATCCGTTCCAGTCGGCGTTCATATACCATGCGAATGTGAACGCCATGTTCTGCACGATCACAAACACATAGTACGGCAGCGTGCACCAGTCGGCATATTTGAATTTGATTCGGTACTCGATTAGGCTGAATATATAAACTAGGCCGAGCCAGAGATTGACGACGAGCGTGATGATATCGTAATACTTAGAGTAGTAAAACAGATAGGCCAACATGATAACGTAATGCACGCATATCATTGTTACCACAGTCAACGGATAGAACTCGTAGGCCACAGCGATGGCGAAAACACGCGCCAGGATGAAGAAGAACCACCAGAGGAAGGACAGGAACTTTCCCATCGGGTCGTCCTCTTCGAGACCTTTCTTGGAATATTTTCGTTTAGGAACTTTCAAGCTCTGCTCGCTGCTGTCTGTCAGTCTTTGATCCGACTCAATGATCCCTGCTGCCTTTGCCGTCTCTTCCTCGGTGTAAACGGAATCTGGACGTGGTGGCGCCGGTATGTCCGGCACTGGGAGCGGTGCGACCGTCGTTATACCGCGAAGCGGTGTCGGTGGCGGTGTCACATGTGCGTTTTTCGGTGGTAACGGTGGAGTCATGGAGATCTGACGGTCCAGCAAAGCCGCATGTGATTGAGTCTGGTGCTCCTGCTCCTGCTCGTTCTCGGTCATCGTATTTTCTTCCGGCGCCGTTGACTTGGCTGGAGCGTTCATCGTGTCTTCTTGCTTCTTTGCAGGTAAAGGCAATGTTTGTAGTGGCACCTTTTCTTCGATATTATTAATTTCCTGATTGACATTGATTATATTTGTTATATATTCAAAGACATATTTTTTCTAAGTAATATCAAATAAACGTATAATTCGTACAATCGTATAATTTTGAAATTGCTTGTGTGTGAAATATTTTTATAATAATTGTTAAGTTGAATCAGATACCTGAATGCAGTATTTCTTCAACCACATTGCCCATGGTAATTTCCTGCCATTTACACGCTGGCTTTCAAATCTTTGAAAAGAAGCTGTCTTCATAGCCACTATTATAATGGACATAATGATGCAGAGTACCTGTACCGTCACTGTAAAACATTATATGTCATTATTGTCTAAAGTAATAAGTTATATTACAGCATATCACATACATACATTATAAAAATATATTACTTCTTGAATATAAAGAAGAAATATTTAAAAAATAATTTTCTATTGTACTTGATTGATAACTGCGGGGCACAGAGCTCTCTCTGAAGAGAAGGTGCGCCTGAAAGACTGCCTGCGGAGCGGCTTGAAACCATGCTTGCAAGAAAAAGTACAATTCGATGGCCGCAGGTACTGCAGCGATATTTAACGTCTTGAGCCTCTCATCTCCGGATAAATTTATAGCATCCACGGACAGTACAATGAGTCCAGCAAATCTATAAAAATGTACAAATTTTGTAGGTACGACCGTTTATTACTATTAATTTAAACTCCATGTGAAGTAAATAAAATATAAGTAATACATAAGCAAATTATAATAATTTTTAATTGAAGCAAATAATGACGGAAAATAAACAATACCTATATAATACGAAGAACACGAATCCTATAAACTGACACATTTGGAGGGCGAACCAGCCGACAATTCCTTTCGATATTTTATCATCTTCCGTCATCCACCAATCGGGCCTCGAAACTGTCAGTATAAAGTACATGAGTGCCGGTAAATAGATAATTGCAACGGTGCATATCCCCCATAATGGATTTTCCTCCTTAAAGTGTTGAATAGCTACCACCAAGTCCGCAGCGAAATGAATAATGTATACAAAGCAATTGATTAAAGTCGGTATGAGGAATATTAAATATATCTGCTCAGTCGACTTCAGTGGAATTTTCATGTAATGTGTAGATTTTCTACGGCAAAGTGTATTTGCCACAGTATTTACAGAATATATCTCTTTTGCCATTTTCTTAGAGCTAGCAAGTCTGCGTCATATTTCTATACATATCACATATGTTCCTTTAATAAATATTGATCGAGTTTTTCCGTTGTCTACAAAAGAAAGAATACAATCAGTAAAGAAAATCGAAGGCAATCATAAGGATTATTATTTATCTAACTTGAAACAATTTATAAATAATGAAAGATTTATAGACAATATATTGTTCATTATTACAACAAAGACATAATTTCAGAATTATTGTTTAGATGCTTGCAGAAAAAAAATAAAAGCAGGGAAAAAAAGAAAAACATTTTAAATCCTCTACAATCAAATCACACACTGCATAAAATTATATTATAAAATTAACATTATAAAAATTTAATGAGTTAAAACATTCAAACACTACTTTCCGGAAAATTTTTTGTTTACTGTCATTGCATAGCAAATGATATGAAAAAAATATAGACTAAATATAAAAGACCATTAATTTTTAACACTGTAATTTATTTAATATTACAGAATAATGCAATGACAGAGAGGATATATTTAAAAAATATATTTATAATTTATTTAAGTTTACCTAAAATAGACACGGATTAAAATCTTGATGTTTCCAAGTCTCTCTCAGGGCCAAGCGAATCATGTCAATGATAAGATTACATTACTTCAGCCTTCAACAGGTAGCTCAAATCATTACTCCTCAATTTTTCGTCAAGCGCATTTGTATCATCGGTACCATCGCTCCCTCGAAGTTGAACGAACGGAAACTCCACTCTCAGTGAGGAAAATACACAATCGTGCGGCCGTCCGGAGATTATAGACATTTACGGGAGAAAAAGATGAGCGGTGTTACACACACCGTGTGTATCAGAACGATCGATTAGTCAGCGCGCCGTACGAATGGGAAAGATAACTCGATAAGCTCCCATTTTGCGAGGTAGTGATAAAGCGTTCCCGATTTCCAGATATCGATATCATGTCGCCAATATGAACAGGTTATGGCTACCTCTTTTTTTCCTTTTGTACGGACGTGCGACTGCGTTTGCGCACGTATTGAAAACGTTTTGCGAGTACGCCATTACATTCGAGAGGCAATTTGCATTTTACATGCCTCGTTGTGATGTCGCACGCATCGAGGAGAAATAAATTTTACTATCATTTTTCTTAGAATTTTTCATATAATTTTTCAGTTTCTATATAATTTTATAACTCTCACATTTTTCATATGAATTGGAAAATCTGCTTCTCAAAAAATCTACATCTTTTGTAGATACAGAATTTTTCGTATACATATATTAATTATGAAATATAAGATTTCTAAGATTTTTTATGAATATAATTTTTGATGAAACATAAAATCTAAAAAATTTTAAAATATTTTTTTAAAATTGTGGGATAAGAAATTCAGAATATTTCAGAATTCGTTTGTAATGAAAAATTCTGAGAGATGTAAATTTTTCGAATATTTCTGAGTATTCCTGAAAAATGTCCCAATTCGTATAAAATTATAAGAAAAATTTTCACGAGGGAGAATCTATAAAAGGATCATTTATATTGATTTATATTAGCCATAGCCTGTTGTATGCCGTAATCTGTAAGAATTGACCAATCATAGTCAATTATTCTCCTCTTATTCGACTGTGATTGGTTAATTCTTGCTGATTATGAAATAATTAAGTTATTAAAAGATTACGGTCAGAATATTTAAATAATCTTTAACAAGGAAATTTATGAAAGTTCCCTTCCGATTTTGATGAGCTTTGAAATCCCGATATAATTAGATAAATTGTATCGCGCACGTACGATGTTTGAATTCCACACTTTGAATATGTTAGACAAAAATAAAACACATATATTGGCTGCAAGAAATCAGTTTCACAACTGTAAAATTCTTCGAAAGGGGTGATTTTTGCCGTTGGTTCTTTATGGATTTAAATGGAAATAAATCAATTATATTGAAGAATTTTAAAACAGTTGCAAAGCTGCTTTCTCTGCTAAACGTAACCACTGTTTAATAAATACTCAACCGCTGTATTTAGGGAGTTTAACAGTCCTTTGAAGAAAGTTTTCATTTCGAAGCGAATACCATCGAACTGTAAGAAAAAAATGTTCTCAATAAAAGCTGAATGATTTGAAATATTTTATAATTTTAAAAAATTTGTTTAAATAAAAAAATTTATTTATGAAAAATAAAAATAAAACTTTTTTTAAATTGTAATTATCGATTAATTTTGAAACTATTAAACTTCGGATGATCAATATTCGAACCGCAGCTGACATTCATCTAGCTCAGCCAAGCGATTTTTCAAGACTGATTGTCTTTATCCGGCACATTGTAAGTATAAAAGCGAAAGATTTAATTACATATACCTATTATCATCAGTTGCTGTATACGCAATCTACATATTTATACGACCGGTATCATCAGTCAAATCTTATATTTTAGACCGTTTTAAGTACAATCCTTAGATACCATAAATTAATCAAAGGCCGATATTGCTTCTTATTTTAAAATCATTTTAAATAATATCTAAAAATACTAATGCACGATTATCTGATTAGTCATAACATAATATTACACTTAAAATGATCTTAGATATGAGAATCGATTATGAATATCGGTCAAGAGAGCCGCATTAACATCTTAAGACAAATAAGAACTACGAATATCGGCCTATAAGTTATTTTTCTTTCCCTTTAATCAAAATAAAACAATTTATTTCCCTTCTTAGTACACCTTATTACGAATCACTTTACATAAAACAAAATACTATCACTTTTCTAAAAATGATATTCATTTTATGTATATACATAATTCGCAAAAAGAAAAAGTTTGGACCATGAGGGGATCGAACCCCCGACCTTCGCTTCAATCCATAATATTATTTGCGACGCTCTGACCAACTGAGCTAATGGCCCTCGACGATTATGTGTCTTTTCGACAGTATGTTCAATATAAGTTTAAGTACTATTTACGAAAATAATACAATTGATCTTACATGAATATTTTGTCAAAAAGAAAAAGTTTGGACCATGAGGGGATCGAACCCCCGACCTTCGCTTCAATCCAATAATATTATTTGCGATGCTCTGACCAACTGAGCTAATGGCCCTCGACGATTATGCGTCTTTTCGACAGTATTTTCAATACAAGTTTAAGTACTATTTACGAAAATAATAGAGTTGATCTTACATGAATATTTTGTCAAAAAGAAAAAATTTGGACCATGAGGGGATCGAACCCCCGACCTTCGCTTCAATCCAATATTATTATTTGCGATGCTCTGACCAACTGAGCTAATGGCCCTCGACGATTATATGTCTTTTCAACAGTATTTTCAATACAAGTTTAAGTACTATGTATGAAAATAATAGAGTTGATCTTACATGAATATTTTGTCAAAAAGAAAAAATTTGGACTATGAGGGGATCGAACCCCCGACCTTCGCTTCAAGCCAAGTAAGTAATAGCGATGCTCTGACCAACTGAGCTAATGACTCTCGATGATTATGTGTTTTTTCGACGGTATTTTCAATATAAGTTTAAGCATTATTTACAAAAATAAGAGAACTCGTCCTACGTGAACATTTTACCAAAAAGGAAATAGCTTGGATTATGTAGGAATCAAATGCACTACTTTAGTCGTAAAAAGTATCACTCTCTGACTAAGCTAATATTCTTAACAATTAATATGGACGTTTTTTAGTGACATAAGTGGACATAAATCGTCTCTTCCGCGGCATTCCATGAGTTCAAATTTATGTTTATTACAAACGATTTGAAACTTTGGACAAAAAAGAATCAACAAATCGTATTTGGATAATTTGGTCACATGATTCGTGCGATTGGTGAATTCTTTCTTTGTTCGAGATCTCGGACTGATTTTTAGCATAAAGGCTTACCGAAAATAGAATATTTGTTGTTAATCTGTCATTAAATAAAAAGTACATCTTTCTCACAGTGTTTTTAGCTCTTGACTACGTTTCGAAAATAACGATTTAATGAGCATTTGTTACTATTGATATATTCTAGATTTATTATATGGATCTAAAGGTGTATTCCAATCACAAGCAACAATTACTGAACACTCACACAGTCGCTGTTTTCTGAATACAATTAGTACAACTTTATAACAAAATAACTTAAAAAAAGAAAATTTTTTTGAATTACGAAAAACAAAAAAAACACGAGATAATTTATATAAATTGAAAAATTTTATTGAAAAAAAAAAACAAGATTTAATTTTATTGACAAAGTAGCACTTTATTCATATGAAAAAGTAATACAACGTTAGGGCCTGTGCTTTTAACTTCTTGAATTATTCAAAGCGTACGCATAGGAGACAATTTGAAGGCCTTCGTCCTTTATGTCTGTGTATGTGTATGGTGCTCTACTTAAGTCTTTTAGATTATATCTCTCTTTTATTGCGTATATACTACTTGTTAAGATATCTGATTTCTTCGCAAAAATCATTGTCATCCTTGTTTATATATGCGTTCTTGTTATAGTTTTATTTTGTCACCTGTTACATAAAATAACGTATGTTATCAAGCCATTTTGTATTTTGCATCTGGTAAAATATATCGCATAGATTCTCTGCATTTATCAGCGATTAATATCTCTTTCAAATAACATCCAAATTCGCAACCCGATATATATATATATATATATAATATATTCATATTTGAATATTTATTCGGGTTGCGATTTTGAAGCTACTTAATCTGAGAACTTAGTGCTACCTTAATCTTAAAGATATTAAATTTATCCTTAATCTTACTTGCACAAGAAAAATTGATGCATCGACTTCCTCTCTCGAATCTTTTTAAAATCTGTAGTTCGGCTTTATAAGCCATTAAAATGAAAAAAAAAAAAAATAAGAAAAAAAGAAATGAACTCTCTCTACAAGATACAATCACTTAGAATAAAACCCGATGTGGGATTCGCTATTTGCCAAGAACTATAAATCGATTATTAAATCACAAGAACCGTCTTATTGTAGTGGCTTACAATCCACATAATAGTTTGGCTTTCTAATTTTGTAATTTAATCAAGATTTTAGTACCATTTAAAACATAATTTTTTATGTAGGAGAATAGATAAGTATTGAACAACTTTTTTTTTGTCTGTAGTGACTGTAGTGCATATAAAAATGCCGTTAAGAGTGTATGCGTGCTATTTTCCAAGTATATGAACGTATACATATATATATGTATATATAAATGAGGAGACAAATGTGGAACATCCTTGGATATTTTTTCTTTACCAAAGCTCGCCATCCTTTTCCTTAGCCGGAACTTCAATTACTCGTGGCTTATCAATTATTCTGGCTGTACGAAGGCCTTTTTCCACGATGCCGATAATCCATGCTTGATATCCTTCTTGTTTTTCGATGTCTTTACAATACGCCGCAGCCTATAAAACACAATTTAGTCTAAAAAATCATATCAACTTTCTATCCGAAAATTACACCTAACTGCTATCTGCTGATTAGATTCGTAGATAAGACTTTTGTAAGATTCAATTATCTGTCTAAATTAATACATAATAAATATAAGTGTATAGTTGTAGAAGAGCTGAACGACTAAATATGTATGAATAATAAATAGTATAATATTTAAAACTCTTCTATTTTTCTACCTGCCATTCTTTAGAATATCTCACTAATACAAGATATTCTACTGTACTGACAGGAAAAACCATAAATATCTTTGATGGAAAAAATTCGCTAAAATTATTCCACGCTTTGGAACACTTTAGCAAAATTTTAGTTCAATTTCAGCGATTTTTATCTGAAAAATTCATTTTTAGCAAAATTTCAGAAAAATTTCAGCAATTTCGCTAAAATGATCCAAAACATGGAATAATTTCAGCGAAATTTTTTCACCAGGGAAATATAAACGAAAAAAATATCGAACTAATCGGAAATTATATTTTTCACTTAAGATAACAAACATCCTTAAGCGTGTTATACAGAATTTATATTAATACTTTATATTTTTTCGAACGCCTAAGATCCAGTTTCACAACTTATGGTTAACTCTTAACCAAGATTTAATTTATTCTTTATTTCTTTCTAATGCTAGAATTGGAAAGAGATGAGAAATAAATTGAATCTCGATTAAGGGCTGCCGCACACAGAATTCCGCAATAGTGACCGTAAAACGTAAACTTAAATCAATGAGCCAATTAGAATATTGCTTTAGATCTATGTAATTTAACAGAAATGAAAATAACAGTCAACTTATCTAAGATCTCACAATTAGGTGAATTTCAATCGATTGAACCGCCTTATGGATAAGTTTACTGCTATTTCTATTTCCGTTAAAGTACATAGATCTATTTTGAGTGGCTCATCGGCTTAAGTTCATGTCTTAAGGTTACTGTTACAGAAATTTTGTGTGCGGCAGCCTTAAGCATTAATCATGAGTTGTGAAACTGAGCCTAAATGTATCTAATGACGCTAAGCTTATAAATTTGACAGTTATGATTATTTAACAGTAATATGATTTAATGAATAAGTTAAGAACCTGTTCTCGAGGAAGGCAAATGAGCAGACCGCCACTAGTTTCAGCAGAGTGACCCTGCAATAGCTGGAACATGTTTCCACACGCCTTTGCTACTGCAGCCATCTTTGAAATAACAGGCAAATTATGGATAACAAAGGAAACTTCATTCTTTTGATGTTTTGCCAGATTTTGAGCATGTCCTAGAAGACCGAAACCGGTGACATCTGTGGCTCCATGTGCATTATACTTATGCATCAATCTAGCAGCTGGAAAATCAAACGGTCATTAATTTTAATTAATTTAACAAAAGACTCTATTAACCAAATTTGATGAAATATTTTCTTGACAAATTAAAAATTTGATTCTTTTTTAACATAAATATTTCCATTAGATAAATAACATTTATATTCTCAATTTATTAAATTAGATGGTACATAGCTCTGTGTAAAAACAATCGATTCCGATTTTCATTCCGTGCATACTTCGGTTTAGAAAAGATTGAAGAGTTGGAAATACGTGAGTAAAGTACGAGATAAATTGTAATTCATTTTGGAAACAATAAACTATTTAATTAAGTTAGTTTCACATAATCTAACGAAACTTTAGTACTAAAGTCTTAAGTTGTAAAATTGAAATTAAAATAAACGCCAATTTTTCTCGACACTATCAGTGAGGAAAATCTTAATTTGAAAAAAAATTGATCAGAATTTGTTATTAAATTAAGTTTGAAATAGCGTGCGTGATTTATATTAGCATAATTAATCACGTAGCTGTTCTGTGTACCTGTTCTATTCAACCTGGCCATACTGTCCATTGCACGTTGATAGCCTTTTCGCACATCCTCCTCACTCACTACAAGTTTGATTCTGTTCCAACGATCGGGCTGATCAAGCCATTGATGCGCGTTGACGGCAACTTGTGTGCCAAGGGGTTTTGTTAGAACCAATACATCCCCAACTACAGCGTTATCTGGCCTGAACAATCATTGGCTAGTATTCATAGTTAGCTTTTGTACTTATTCAAGACCATTTAGATAGTCATAGTTATTATAAATCAATCACGAAATCACACATGTATTAGCATTTTAAGATATTACTTAAGATAAGAATAGAATAAATTCTCATCATAAAGATTAATGCTAAATCCCACAATACCAATACTTGATACTGGTTACAATTAAATTATTACGTACACGATATACTCATTTGGTTGACAAACGGTAGTAGCAACTCCACCGATGGTGCACCATGGATTTACGACTGTCTGGCCACCCGTTACCGTGGTACCTGCATCTAGAGCAGAATCCTTAAATCCTCTCATTATCAGCGGTACGACGACGTCGCGCTCTTTCTCCGTCATCTTTGTGCTGACACCCAACAGCATCAACATGTTGTCGCAGTCCGTGACACCCATCGCATACAGATCGCTGAGAACATTGGTGCACGCGATTTTACCTGGAAGACACCTCCAATAGCAATGAAGACGGAATCGACATATTACATTTATATTAAATTTTTTCTGCATTTTTATACGAATTAAGATACTTTTCAGTAATACTGAGAAAGCTCATATCTTTTCGTAGAATTTTATATATTAGGTGTTGGAATTAATTCGTAGCGTTTTTTAATGAAAGAATGTTATTTATTTCACATGAGCATTAAAAAATACATTAATGAAAGTACTTCCCATCACTTGTAAAACGCTACGAATTAATTCCAACACCTAATATATGTAAATTCTGAAATATATTTTAAGATTTTTAATGTTATAATTTATATTTAAAAAATACTTTAAACCTACTTTTATAGATTTTTTATAAGATCTCATAAAAAAGAAATTATAGAAAAATCTTAGAAATGTTATATTTCAGAATTCACATGTATAAAGACTTTCTCAGCATTCCTAAGAAGTTCTAATTTGTATACAATATGAAAAATAATAAAATTATTTAAAAAATGCTGAAATTTACATAAAAATTATAAAAAAATTATATAAAAACATTTTCACCAGAAACATTTGAACAATTTGTACGTTTAATAAGACTTGATCTCACAACATTTCATGTGTTGTTATCATCTCAACATCTTCTTTCTTCCATCCAGCATAAAGTCGTCATATTGATTTACATAACATGTTCAAGAGTTTTATGTTGACTATGCTTATGCATTTGGTGTAATCCTTACCCATCATATAAGGATCGTCGACTAGTGGGTAAAAGAAGTCCGTAGTCTGCACTAGGCTAAGTCCACCATGTCGCACAGGTGTCACAGAGGCATCCATGCCAATACCTGAAAAATATAATTTTCTTTGCTAAAAAATATAATTTAATTTGCTTTATTGTACTATTGCAAAATAACATAATTGTTCACCAACCATTTAATTTAATTTAAATATTTTTAATCTTCTCCTCGTTTTACAAAGATACAGTTATGTATCATGTTTTTATTAAACATTTTAGAATTTAAATATTATACATAAAAACAATAAGAATTCAAAATATAAGACAATATAAAAAAGATTAAACATTTTTCTAAAATATAATTATGAAAATTATGTCTTTTATTAAACATTTTTAGGATTTAAATGCTATACATAAAAAAGCATTAAAATTTCAAAGAATAAATAATAGAAAAATTAAAAGAAAAAATGATATAAATTAAACAAAGTTCATTTTTTTTTTAAATTAGCGCCACAAAAATCGTAATTAAATAATGCATAATATTTTTAATGTATTTTAAATGTATTTTACTTCTTTCAATGCTTTAATAAAATTCAAAATAATGTGTGTTATTGCAAATTCGATTGACAAAATAATAAACAACACTTGTAGCTGAGAACATCTGCGTACATCTGCGCATCCGGTGCCACGAGTAGCCACGAGAGAAATTGGGCGGGAGACGACATGGTCGCCATGTTTGATGTTACGACAGGGCTGCTTGTGACGCTTTCAGGCCCCACACAATAAATTCAGAGTCTCCAAGAATTCAAATTGACTTTTCATTTCGTACTACAAATTTTCGTAAAAACTCATGGGTGAAATTCGATCACATAGCTCCCGAAAGTCCAAGAAGGAAAAATTCTTCTCAAATATATCCTGATTCTTTTGGCTATATTCCGATATTCACTGTCAGTCCTGAAAATCTATAAGGCATGACGTAAGCAGAATTTCAGCATTAACATTGAATATCGGAATGGAATCTTTCTACGCAAAAATTCGAACTGAGAAAAACAGCGAAGGAGGGAAGGGGGAAAGAGAGAGAAAATATACATGATAAAAAGTGATGAAAGATGTCGGCTTGCAAGCGCGTCGCAACAGGGGGCTCGGCTCGTGGCCGATTTATTTATCCATTCGTTCACACACTTACCGATGCGGGGAATCGCCATGTGCATAAAGTGGGCATGCTCGTGGTCCTGTGCAGACGCGTCATCTGCCTGAAGTCCCTCGAGGAGTTTACCAAGAACCTCCTGAGGGACCTTACACCCTCATCCTTTTAGGTCAGCGAATCGCGTCAAGCGGAAGGACGAATCGAGATCATGCGCCACCGGATCAAATGGCCTGCGCAGCGCTAAAGCATTCGGATTCCCCTCAAGTTCAAGCTGCGCCACGGTCAGGGCGTCCTGTGCCACCGGGGTGCCCTGCAGCTCCGCCATCTTGCCGAACGAAGTCGTTTACAAGACGGAGATCAGGAAAAGACAAGTCGGTTTTTACGCCTTTGTGATTCACGTCGAAATCGTCGCGAATAAGATGAAGAAAGGACCCACGATTCCTCGTAATCCTCGTACTTTTTCCTCGCGCGCGCGCGCAACTCGTCGCACACCGGTGTGTGTTCTCACTGCTTACCTCTTACGCCCCGGCACGAATGATATCAATGAAACGCAAACGCCGCCGAAGGACAGCCACTGGATCTCCCGCGGTCCGCGCGCGAACTTACAGCAAATGGGAATTGTACTATTCTACACCGGCGTCGACTACCCGGGACCGAACCCGCAGACAAAATGGACGCAGTAACGCCGGCACGGCGATACCGAGGGCGCGAGCGAGCCCCCACGGTGCCACCGCCACGGTATCGGCCGTGCCCGCTGATTGGCCAATTTCGAACTCGCGCATGCGCCCGCTTCGCCATCCCGCAGGGACGTAGCGTGCCGAGTGAAGTATGCTACCGGTGCTCGTCGCTTTCAAGCGCTGCGCGCTTCATGATTGTCGGTCTCGCCGGACTACACACTTGACTCCGGCCGAGTTCGTCTGCCGGTCGAAACATTTATACCATAATCGTGAAATTAACTCAAATTTAAACTTTATGGCAAGTGGCAGCGCGTAGTTATATTGTGTTGAACTTATCGATTATGACGTATGTTAACAGTTACATAAATTGAGTTTAATCCTAATTCTCTCTTATTTTGTTATATTAATAGATAATTTGTTCATCGGTATATTTTTAAGATTTGACTATTTTTAGGTCATGTTTGATTGTATGACGTCATATAGTTGTATGACGGAGTCAAAAAAACATAAAGCAGTAAGCGAATCGACCAATCAAAGTAGAGAACTACTTTATGTTCTCTACTGTGATTGGCTGATTCACTTGCCGCTTAAGTCTTATTGTTTTATTTTTTAAGCCGGATCTACGATTTTTAAGGTATATCCACACAAAGTTGCATAACCGCATATCATGAATCAATTAAGGGCTTAAAAGGGCTACATTAGTTACTTAAAACATTACTTAAGATGGTCTTAAAATAAGAATCGACTATGAATACTGGCATAACACACACATTCTTTCGCGCATTAAAATGTATTGAAATTTTTTTTATCCGAATGCGTATTTCAAATAGCGAATACTTTTTTTGGATTTAATTGGATTCAATTAGATTCAATTGGATGAAATTGAATTGAAAAACTGCATTTCTTTTTCAAAATTTTGAATTGAACGATATTCATAATGTTTGTTGTGTGGACAGAAAAAGCTAATATTATTTTTAGATTGAAAGACATAGAGATATGCTCCATGCAATTTCTATAAATAAATAAAAATGCATTCAGGATTGAAAAGTATTCATTTTAATAATCGTGAATCAATATTTTTGAAAATCTGAATCCATTTCAATTCATTTCAATCCACTCTCGTTTGCTGGGCTTGGAAATAAAAGAGAAAAGAGATGAATGGTGCAAGAAGTTAAACTAAAGAGAATAGGCTTATTATTTTTATAGATTTGTGCCATGTTTTCTTTATTTAAAATAAAGATATTATATTGGGTCATCTAAAAAGTATCCGCGGTTTTTTGTCACTAGATGGTGTTGATGGTCATATATCTAGTGACAAAGTATCGCGGATACTTTTTAGATGACCCAATATATATATGTATGTACTAAAAATGCCTGTTTTATTTTGCTTTCAAATAACTCTAAACATGCAATCAATCATTACGTTCTTTTTTAATGCATGTTGAAATGTTACGTATCAATGAATGCAACCTTGATCAAAAATATTAGGCATTAAATTTTTTTTCATTTATTTGGAATTTTTTTATCTATCACCTTATTACCGGAATTGTAGACAAGTTTAAAAGGTTCTTTAATAAGGAATGATTTAGCAAATGCTGTAATACAATAAATTAATTTTTGAGCTAAAACTTTAAATAATACTTAATAAAGTGCCTAATATTTTTGACCAAGGCTTGTATGTGCTTTTAAAATTTGGATTAAAACTTAACTTTTCAGATCAAATTCAGACATTGAGACATAAGACATTTTTAAGACGTCTTTTAGACACCAAAGACGTCTTATATGTCTTTCTTTTGGATACCTTGTGTTATCTGGGAAGCCATCTACCGTCAAAAATCGCATGGAACTGTTGGTCAACCCGATACATTTATCTATACGGAGTACAGATCTTATTGTTTGTCGATTCCTGCGAATGACGTTTACTGAATGGGAATCAACGCATTCGCACGAGCGGCATGTGTTTCGGTCACCGATGCATCGTTCGATGTCGGATGCGACGGATATATTCATATTTAATCTGCATTGATCCTAACTCAGACGAGTCATTCTTACTTTCCAAAGCGACTTATGCCAATGTGTGTATGTCATGAATACGGCGATATCGGCCGAAGTAGTTGTGCCGAGGAACGCCGAAGTCCATTGTTGCAAGACGATGCCACCTTATTGGTCATTTCTCCCAGTTTCTCCACGCTTGTATCTGCCATTCGATTTGGCCAATCAACTTCATCCATGCGCCGCAAGTGGTTCTCAAACAGCGTCTTCTCCATGTCTAAATTTTACATTAATTTATATATACCGTGGGAAATAAAACTGAGAAACTTACACCTTCTTTACGAGAAAGAGAATTATATAATATTATTTCATGTTCTAAATACAATTCAGGTCATTTATCGACTCTATATATACATATATATAATACTACAAAGGTAAAATTTATATAATTGTGATTATAATTACTATACTTAACTATTATGCAACCTTTAAAAAATATTAGTCTTCTTATTAATTATAATTATTTATAGTTTTGAATCAAAAATTGATTTATGACATTTGCTGTAAATTCCTTTGTTTCGACTCCTTTACCCTTTAAACTTGTACATAAAGCCGGGAATTAATAGGTGACAAGTAAAAGAATTCCAAATGGATGAAAAAGATACAAGTGTCCAATATTTTTGGCCAAGGCTGTACATGTAAAGATTTATTCGAAACATGGCGTAAAGTAAAATTTTGCAAAAATCGCATTATCCGACGTTTTCACGTATAAAAATGAACGGACGAAAAACAAAGTTGTCAAAACTTCGATGTGAAAAATTCGATGAATGAATGTTGAAGAAATTGTCGGCGAAATATTTCCGTGCGCGCGAAATACATGGCATACGATTGTCTTGGAATGTTGTCCGGCTGATCGCATTGGTACTAGATCGAGCTGGTCTCCCTTTCCCGCGCAAATTATGGCTACGATCTGCTCCCCGCGAGTTCCACTACGATATTTCTATATTTTCGCATAGAGAAATTTTCAGGAAACGTCTGCAATCATTTATGTTTTTAATGCTTGTGGCAATGAATTCAACTTTGAATGACTTTTATTCGAATTTACTGTTTGATTAATTATGGATAACTCATGTCAGATAGCCTCGCTTGAACAGACTGTACCATTGTTTGCGGATTAAATATTTGCATCGTGTTCAGAGACACATTAACAGAAGTGTGGACATCGGATCGCTACCACAGATGTGGTATTCCGATACTTGGATATGATTATCCGCGGGAAATTATATTCTCGAGAAATTAATTATTTTAGAAACTTGATTTTGTGAAATTATTATAGCAGATTTTATAACAATTTTTATTTTGTATTACATTATGTTTACATTACATTATAATTACAATGTATGTAAAAGCAGAGAGGACGGAAATCATGATGAACAGATTTGCATTGATTTTATAATAATTAATCCTATAAACAATATAAAATGATAGATAATAATATAATATTGCTATTTTGATTGCGTGCTTATTGATTATCAATAATGATGACCCGATAAAAAATTCTTCATGCATGAATAAATATGTATAAACATGCATAAACATGTATAATTATATATGAAATATGTCCATGCTTGTACATCCTTTTTTCTTAAAATTACTTTTTATAATAGAAATAATAATATTAATATGTGAAAACTTTAAAAATAATTAAAAAGGTAATTTTCACACTATTTTTGAAAAAATGTAAAAAAATTATTTATATATGATTATATATAAAATTATGCATAATTATGTATGAGCAAATTTTTTATATTTTTTCAAACTTGTTTTTTTCTAAACAAAAAACAAACAATGCGAAAATTATTCCTTTAATTATTTTTTTATGTTTTCACGTTTTTACTATTATTATTTCTATTACACTAAAAAATAATTTTATAAAAGAAAAAAGAATGTATGAACATGTATGGACATATTTCATATAAGTATACGTTTCATATTATTATATGTTTATGAATATTTATACGTGTTTATGTATGTTTATACATATTTATGCATATTCATGTATAAAAAATTACCCAAGATATTCATATTATTTATTTTATCGATCGATATAGAAGAAAATGAATATATCTGCACATGCTGATAAATTATAATATTTTTTTTAATATATAAATTTTAAATTTAAAAAGTAACTTTAAGTAAGTAAGATAAATTGATCAATTAAATAAATATATTAAAATAAAATAATAAATTATTATTTACAATTATTTATTATTATATATAATTATAATTATATAATATTTCTCGACAAATAATGATGATATCACGATTTTCATCGTATTGTATTCATATCATCTATCATATACAGTAATAAAAATTATTATTATTATTATTTATACCTATCTCTTTTTTCCTAAATATATTCTTAATTTGACTGCAATCATATTTTTATTGCCTCCGTCCACCCCAAAGTTTTTTTACTGTTCCGAGCTTTCAAAAAATGTAGAAAAATTCAAGATTGCTTTTCAAAAGTAACTAGGTCTTTTTTGTTAGAAAACTATTTAGTAATGTAATAGAAATGTATTTCTCCCGATTACATTACCAACTAGTTTTTTAACAAGATATTTTTAAGAAGGGAAATAGACAATCAGATTCAACCCTTCTATTTTCCGTAGGAATTTATTATATTTCGTAGGAATTTGAAAGTGAAATTTTTTTATGTAAAAAAAAATAAGGATGGCAATGGAGGATTAATTAATTAGATTTATTAAAAAATTAATAACATTAATTGATGTAAAAAGTAAAACTTTTAATAGCTTTAATGAAAACTTTACTGAAAATATTTATAATTTTTCAAAATTTTTACTTGCATAGGTGCACATTAAAATTGTTATTAACGTAAAAATGTTTAATGTAAATACGGAAATGGGTTAAACTGTAATTTTCTATTATACACTGTGGGTACGTTCCGTTTTCACGCTCACAGGCTGTAAATATCAGTTTATCT